GGTCATACTGGATGCAAGCTTAGCAGCCCAGGATCCCCATTTTGAGTTACACGGGGACCTCTTGATGAAAATATCAAAAGACAAGGCCACAAGGACCTGGCAGTGCCAAATATTAGTGCCAGAGCAGTACTGCAGCCAGATTTGGAAACTAGTCCATGATGTACAATGGGGTGGCCATTTAGGGGTGGAAAAGACCCAAGATACCCCAGGCTAGAAAAACCTTGCCAGCATGCTATTCCAAGAAATCAAGGACTGGTGTACATCATGCCCTGAATGCCAGCTGGTTGCATGCCCAAACCCACTCGCAAGGCCCCACTGGTACCTGTTCCATTGGTTGGCATACCATTTGAGTGGGTCGGAGTAGACTTGGTGGAATCATTAGAGCCTATCTCAGGAGGGTCTAAGTTCATCCTGGTTCTTATCAACCTGCTACCCTGAGGCTGTGGCAATTTGCTTGGCTTCAACACAAACTGTGACCTTTGAGCTATTACAGATATTCTCCAGGGTGGGCATACCCCGAGAGGTTTTGACTGACCAGGGCATGGTCTTTGTGTCCTGGTTACTGCAAGAAGTTTGGTGCTTACCGAAGGTCCATTCTATAAAGCCGTCAGTGTACCATCCCCAAGTCGATGGATTAGTTGAAAGATTTAATCAGACACTGAAGGGGCTGTTGGAAAAGTTGGTCTCGGAAAAGACCAGTTATTACCTTGCTTGCTTATTGTTTGTCATTCAAGAAATTTCACAGTCCTCCACAGACTTTTCACCCTTTGTATTATTTTATGCGAGGCAGCCCTCGGGCATGTTAAATCTCTTACAAGAATCCTGGCAGGCCCAGGGACAGTAACAAAAAACATAGTCCTACATGTCCTGAAGCTACAGGAAAGATTAGACTTGATGGGTGCCCTTGCAAAAGAAAATCTTGGGGCTGCACACCAACAGCAGCATAAATAAAAATTCCCAGCTCTGGGTTTATCAGCCAGGGGATAGAGTATTACTACTTTGCCACACCTCTGAGAGTAAGTTGCTAGCTAAGTGGGGTCCTGCGGAGGGTAGGCGAGGTAAATTATGAAGTTTGCACAGTAGGGAAACAGTGGGGTTCACAGATATTGTGTCAACCTGCTGGAGCCCTGGAGGGTCTGAGAAGCTTGTGTGGTCTCTATATGTTTACTGGGACCTGGCTTGGGGATTGCAGATCCCCAATGGATCCTATGGCTGGCCTCATGATAGGGAAGGTTTAGACCCCAACTCAACAGGCTGAAGCAAAACACCTACTGGACAAATTTTAAAGATGTATTTACAGTTATTCTGGGCAGAACCAAATGGACTGAACACCAGATTATGCTCAGGATGGACTGTGTAATTCAGAAGGGATACTCAAGAATTCCAGCATATCTGAGGGAAATGGTAAAATGAGATTAAGAAATGTGGGACCTAGGGGTGGTAGAGGAATCTGCTGGTGAGTGGAGTAGCCCAATTGTTTTGGTGCCACAGCATGATCACCCCACCTGGTTTTGTATTGATTTCCATGAAGTCAATGCAGTTTCAAAGTGTTACACACACCTTATACCCAGAATAGATGAAATGGTGGAAAAAATAGGCAACACAAAATATGTGACCACCCTGAATTTAACCAAGCGGTATTGGCAAATACCTTTGGTCCCAGTGTCCTAAGAAATCACAGCCTTTGCAGCACCTTGGGGACACTAGTAATTTTGAACTCTACTTTCTGGTTTCCATGGGGCCCCTGCAACCTTTCAACATGTAATGGACAAAATCAGTGGTGCCCACACCAGGCATGGGCCTGGACAATGTAATGATGTTTGCCAACATGGGGTGAAACAGCTCCAGAGGGTGAGAGGTGCTGCGGTCAATACAAGTGGCTGGCCTCGCAGCCAGCCCTGCTAAATGTCACCTGGGATGCATGGAAACTAGATCTCAAGGTACATACCGGGCAATGGCCAAATTGGGCCCCAGTAGACAAAGTTAAGGTCCTGGTGGAATATCCTGTGCCAGCAACCAAATGGCAGGTGAAGTCATTTTTAGGGTTGTGAGACGATTCATCCCACAATTCGCTGCCCTCACAGCCCCACTAACTGACATGTTGCGGAGGCAGCACCTCAAAGGATCCAGTGGTCACCCAGGTATGAGGCAGGATTTGGAACAGTTATACAGCTACTATTCAGCGTGCTGGTCCAGCACAGCCCAGACTTAACAGAGGAGTTCACATTACAGACAGATGCCTTGGAGTGAGGCTTGGAGGCTGTTCTCTCCTGGGAGTTTGAATATGGTGGACACCCCATCAAGTATCTCAGCAGCAAGCTCCTTTCCCAGGAACAGAAATATGCAGTGATAGTGAAGGAGTGTCTAGCAATTAAGTGGGCAGTTGAGACCCTTTGTTATTACCTTCTAGGGGCCCATTTTCTTTTGGTCACTGACCATGCCCCTTTAACGTGGCTTAATGCCATGCAGAAGGCCAACCCCCATTTGATGAGATGGTACCTCTCCCTGCAGTCTTGATTTTATATATATATCATGAACTGCTGCAGTGTATATATGTGTGTGCGTGCACGTGTGTGCCGCGGTATATATATGTGTGTGTGCGTGTATTTATTTATTTTTCAATATGCCACCATCCTGGGACTGCATATAGAATCATAGAAAATTGGGGTTGGAAGGGACCTCAGGAGATCATCTAATCCAGCCCTCTACTCAAAGCAAGACCATCCCCAGCTAGATCATTTCAGCTTTGTCGAGCTGGGCCTTAAAAACCTTGAGGGATGGAGATTCCACTACCTCTCTAGGTAACCTGTTCCAGTCCTTCATCACCCTCTGAGAGAGCTTTTCCTAATAACCAACCTAAACCTCCCTTTTTGCAACTTGAAACCATTGCTCCTTGTTCTGTCATCTGTCACTGAGAACAGTCTAGCTCCTTTCTCTTTGGAACCACCCTTCAGGTAATTAAATGCAAATGCAGACTTCTTCCAAATGGGGCACGGGGTGCAGTTGAAAAGGGAGGAGTGTATCCTGGTTTCCACTCTCAAGTGGGGGGGACATATAACAAGGCGCATGACTCTGGGGCTAGAGCTCAGCTACAGGGGGTGAGAAGGTGGCCTGCTTGCCTAGGAGCTCTGGGCCAGCTGACGTGGTTGATTGGCTAGCCCTAGAAAAAGTTAAAAGCTCCTAGAGATGACACTGGGAAGGGAGGGAATCTGAGAAGAAAGGCAGCACTGTGGTGAAGCCCTTGCCCCTGATAGGAGAGTCAAGGGGGTGGGGGTGTTTTGCTGTTCTGTTTAGTTTGAGGTAGGAAAGGGGAAAGGCTAGCTCCTGAGCCTGGCTGAGGGAGTAACAACTACCTACAGATGCACCTCTTTGAAAAATAAAATGAGATCCAGAGATGAAGTAGCACGAGATAGGAACCAACCATTGTTCTCAGCTTCATTTCTCCAGTGATATCACAGAGGGCCAAGAGGGAGAATGGCCCTATGGTAAGTCCAGGTTCAAATCCCTGCTCTGCCACAGACTCACTGAGTGTCCTTGGGCAAGTCTCTTAGGGTAAATCTACGTGGCCAAGGCAATGCCATCTAGACCCCCCAGCTATTTTATTTAGGATTCCAGGAGCAGTCTTATCCTTGCTAGTATGGTACATTCCCTAGCCAAATTAGACCTGCTGTGAAGTAGGGTATATTAGCTCGGTTGGAGGATCATTATAAAGCAGCTACGCTGCCTCCAAACTGGCACATGTACTGGGTATATCAGCATGGCTGTGTTGTGCTGTGTACCAATACCCTCTGTGTCTTTACTCTCTTACAGGGGGTAAAAACACTATTCTGCCTCCAGGGATGTCATAAGAATAAATGGCTCGCAGGCTGTGGGGCGCTTGGACACCGTAGTAACAGTGACCATGTAAGTACTCATGATACATATAGGCAGCCTGGCCTTGAAGTCAGGCATTGCCTGTGGAGCAATAGACTTGGGTCTGACCTAATTTACAATGACTTGTCAGCTCTCCCCCTACCCTGCCAAGTGTGGGTAGCTGTGCTGCTTGCAGCATATTATCAGCAGACACTGGAGAGGGCAGGGCTCAGTGGGAACCAATATTAGCCCTTCTAGTCCCTCTCACTCATGTTGTCAAATAACTAGGGGACCCTATCCTGTCTGGTTATTAGAATGAGGAAGGCTGCTGCTTCCTTCACCTGCAGCAGAAAAAGACAGAAACAAGCCACCTCACTCACACCGTCTTCCTCAAACCATGCCCTGGCTGGGATGCCTAAAAACAACTTGACAGCACCCCAGCAGCTGAGCTCCCTGCCTGTCATAGTTGAGGCTCTCTCTCTGTCTGGATCCACCTATTCTTGGGTGTAGAGTCTTGCAGCAGGGTCTGTCTCCTTGTTCCACTTTTGTACTGTGTTGGAACTGTGTTGCAAGGCAAAGCAGATCATCTGAATAACCTGGGAAATTCCAAAACCAGAAACAATTGAACAATTTCTTAAAGCGAGAGAACCATTCAGGTTGCCGTGTTTGACAGGGGTGTTCAAGTTCATGTAACCCAAGCACAGGAATCCTGCCTGCAACTGCTAATGATCAGGAGCATGGGACCGGCAGTGGCAGTCTCCTAGGCATCCAGGCAAACATCTGTTCAGGGGAACATTCATCTCAGCCTCATTTGCGTGGTGCAGCCACAAACCCTATAAAGCACCTACCATGTGGCACAGAAGTAAGAGAGCAGGAGAGATGAGAGGGCTGCTATCCAGCTGTCAGTGCAGGGGCTTGCACACAGAATTTACAGCATGTGTCTCTCTTTCTCTTTTACAGTGAAAAGGTGGAGAGAAAGCAAAGGGTTAAGTTGGCATCTGCCTGAAACCCATCCCACTGGGGCAGTCTCTCTAGTCCAGTGAGTTAATGGAGATGCTCACATACTCTCTCCTTCTGCCTCCTTATCTAACTCCTTATCTAACTCTGCTGCAGGGCTTTTTTCCCCCCCTTCCCTTTTCCCTTGAAGTGGGGGGGGCACTGTGAGAGCTGAAAAATGAATCACCAGGTGGTAGGAGAAGTTCCTGAAAAGGAAGGAGGATCCTGCTTGGAGTGGATAGGATTTTAGCACCTCAAGCTAAGCCAATAAACCTTTGCTGTCCAGATCTGCAGGGGAACAAGGAGCAGCAGGGTCCTTGCAAATGCTTCCAGAGCTGGTCAAGGCAAAAAGGACAAAGAGACCAAATGGAGAGGCATGTGCCTGCCAGGGGTGGGGCAGCCCCCTGTGTTAGCTAAGTGCAGCTGGAAATAGCATTAACCACACCGGAGCCCAGACAGCATCCTGCAGAACAGACGGCTGTAGCAGCTGCAGTGCTTGGCCACTGCTTGGAAGGACACTCTTCGATTTGCTTTAGGTCTGGGGGGCCGAAGAGATTCTGGTGGGTAACTTGTTTCAGGACAAGATGTCCTTTCATGCTCCCTGCAGTTGGAGTTCTCTCTGCGGCCTTGACTTCCACATACGGAGCAGTTTGGGCTGCGTGGACAGTTGTTCCCAGAGACAGGGCTCATCTAATTTGTTTTCAAGTTTAGTTTTCCACCTCTGAATTTTCCCTGCTGCGGCACCTTGGCTAGCTAGACTGTAGCCTCCCTGGGACATCATGGAGGATCTGGTCCGTGTGGGCATCTTGGCTGCTGTCCTCTACTGCTCAGTCTGCGCTCTGGTAAGTCAACTCTGCTAGACTCTCTCTGTGTCCTTTACTCTTTGTCTCAACTCTCCTCTTCCTGTGGCTTTAAATGTTGCTAATTTCTCATGTGAACCAAACACTCACACCTGTGCTGCTGCAAAGCCTTAACCACTCCCAATGTCTGCTTGGGCTAGTGGGTTCTGACTTAGTGAACAGAAGCAAAAGGGACATGGGGATGTGATAGTCAGATGTCCAGGTTGGCAGTCTCGGGACTTATTTATGCTGTGTTAGTCAGGCAGAAGGCAGGGTGTATATGCACCTTATTCATTAACTAAATAAGATGCATGTAGAGCATAAGCTTTTGTGAACCTGAGCTCCACCATGGTGAGGAATGAGAAGGGGAACTGCCCATGAAATTAGTGCTCTATGGTGGGCTCCGTGCCAGGGCAATATATGGGAGATAGCCTGAGGGCAAAATTCTGGTCTTTGAAATGACTGAAGATTTGACTTGGCTGTTCTGCTCACACCTCCTGCCTTCAATTTATTCAGTATTATTTATATTCCTACAGGACCCAGCCTGGATCAGGGTCCTGAGGCACTTTGCAGTATACGTACAGAATCATGGGAAACAGTGCCTATCCTACAGAGACTGCATAGTATTATTATCCCTGTTTTTACAGAAGGGGAAAACTAAGGCACTGACTGATCAAATGACTTGACTGGGGATATACAGGCTGCCTATGGCAGAGCAGGGACTAAAACCCAGCTCTCACCTCTGAGTCTGGTGTCTCAATTAGTGTTTCCTCTTTCTTTCACTGTTGAAAGCTAATGAAATTGGACCTTAGTAAAAGGCACGTGAAGTTAACAGTCAGTACAAAGAAGTATGTGCAGAGGGAGTGATGAGTCCTCCAGAGCTACCTGCCTGGCACTGCAAGGCCTGGAGCTGGTTGTATGCAGATCTCCTGCTCCCTCTGCTTCAGCCTGTAGGACTAGTCACATCCTTGTATATGTGGCTTCACTGCATCGCTAGTCAGAGCTGAGCACTGGTGGTGGAAAGTCCAGTGTGCAGGGTGTGAGTGGAGGAGATGGAAACAGGAGGTGTCTTATTCTGCCACTAAAAGCTTTTTCTCAAGCGTGACAGCCCGGTGACATCATGACATGAAGAATCTTTCCATTTCTGTTCACACAGGGGGCTGAGCACTCACTTCCTGGAAGGCACACCAGGGAACAGAGAAGCCTAGAGCATTTACAGTTAAATGAATTTTGAGGTTTCTGAGTCGGAAGGGATTTGACTTGGCCCATGCAGAGATCAATTTGGGTTCTGCTACTGGTGTCCCTGACAGCTCCAGCTGTGGGGTCCCATACTCCACAGACTTGCCAATGCTAATACAATTCTCTAGAGGACTTGGCTTCTGCCTGATACCCCATGCCTTGCTCTCCAGTCTTAGGTCTCTGTTAACCAGAGCTTCCCAATCATGCCAGAACTGTTCTTTTGTGATGGATCTTGGGCAGGTGGGGGGAGGAAGGTATTTCAGGGGCAAAAGGAAGGTTTTAATAAAGCCATCCTGGGCTGGGAAGAGCCTTGTACTCCCTCATTTTCATTGTACTGCTTGTTTCTAGAAAGAGGCTGCAATTAAAGCCTCAAGTGCAAACACTTACAGCTAGTGTGTACTTCTGTGACTGGCTGAACCAAACACATGGATCTAGACTCTGTTCTGTCAGATACAATGCCCCTCCCTACTAGACCCTTTCAGAGACCTTTTCACCCCTGTTGAAGCTAAGAAAACTCCTCTGGGCCAAGCCCTACCTAGTGCTCTAGGATTTGTTTTTGTTCTACTATTATATGGGGAAGCTCTTATTTCCCACCTTCTGTGATATCAGCCCAGCTTCACATCATGGGGTGCAGTTGGACCAGGGCTCTCTCAACTAGACCACCAAACCATCTAGACCAGGCACAGTCAATGAAGATAGGCGAGGGGGCGGAGAGGAGGAGGAAGGGAGTCCCCTTCTATTCACACTTTCATTTTCAATTCCATTGCTTCATATAGGTGCAACTGGACTTCAGATCCAGAGCTACGGGGCACTTGAGTTTGAGGCTGTAACAGGAGAGGTCCAGCTGTACCTTGAAATGACTGTGGCTTTACCCTAAAACGTTTCTAGCTGACAAGGGCAGAAGAAGGTGCAGACTAGGGTTTGCTGCCCGTGCAATGTGCAGGCCACTTGACAGATGCTAAGTCTCTTTGTGGGTGGGAACTCACACCTTCTTGTGACCAAAAGATTGATTTTCATCCAGGCCAGATGACAGCATTGTGCGTCAGAGCTTCCTTACAGTGTCATTTATCCTATGGTGCTTAGCACACTACGCAGAGGGGCTCATTCATTTATCAACACAATGCAACCACCTCTGAGGTAGAATGTGGCAGGAGTTCAAGTGCTCACATCCACCACCCACAGCAGTTTGGGAGAGGAGGTGAAAAATTTCTTATATCCCATGGAAATTCAAGACAGAATTTAAGGAGGTAGACTAGAATCTACATATCCTGGCTTAGATTTTGGCCAGGACACAGGCTGACAAATGAAGGGACCCCGGGATTTTCAGTAGCTATATGTGGTCAGGACTCCAGCTTGCTGCTTCATTCAAGAGAGGCTTTCAGTAGCTTAACATCCCTAATATACTGCCATGGCTTTGGCCCAGAGAGCACTCTACTAAGTGCTCCTGAGAGCTGACAGAGCACAGCACAGGGCCATTCTTCTTCATGCACTAAGTACAAACAGTCAAAAAGCCCAAAGCTGAATCAATTCAGTCTTTGCAGTTTAGTCTAAGCTACACAGATTAAACTGAAACAGAAGTGAACAGACGTTTACCTTTGATACAGAAAACGCAGCCACATGCCTGCCATAACTCAGGCCAGAAGCTGGGAGGCACTGGAGCAGGCTCTCTGGTTTTGTGTTCACTTCCTCTTCCTGCTGCCTTCAAGGTCTCTGGGATTTGCAGTCCAGAATCACAGTAGCAGGACTCTGCAGGATTGCTCATTACTTCCTCTTCTTGTTTCCAAGTGTCTCTGGGATTTGTAGTCCAGTTGCAGCCCCCAATAAGTTTGAACTGGGAAAGGGGTGTTTAAGCCCCCTCCCTGGCCTCAGACCACAGC